AATAAAAGTATTTCTTAACATCCTTAATATTAGGAATCAGAGCTTCCAGTATATTTAATTTCAATTATTTTTACAAGTTAATTTTTCAACTTACTTTTTACTTGCTTTTTGATGCTTTTCGTACCATCCAACCAATGCTGAAAACAAAAATAAAAATTCAGAGCTATGAATATAAATTTCCATCTTTTATTACCAAGTTATTTTTCATCACGCCATTGTTGATAACCACATGAAATACTTCTAAGAGAAAACCAAAATTGAGTATGTGTCAGGTAGGTATCGATTACCTCCCTAACATCCACAGAAAGTTTCTGAAAACAAAAAGTTTATGAACAGAAAAACACCTGTGATTCCTTAAAACATTTCTTTTGTTCCCTCAGTAGCAAAGATGATCTTCTTAAATTCAGTCCTTAGTATTCTTCATTGTTCCCATATAAAGAACACTTTCAAAGCTGCTAAAATCAGACAGAATAAAATATTCTAGTACCTGGTTTATTCTTGTAATAAAAAATAAGATTGTTGTTGTTGTTAAATTCCAATGAGTCAATTTTGACTCATAGTGACCCTGTATAGGGTTTAGCAGATCATTAACATTTAAGTAAAATAACAAAGCCACCTAAATTTTTACAAAATATGTACTACCTAGAAATAGCACTCTTTGGAGAGGATTGCAGGGTAAAATCAAACCTTTCTCATAACCAAAGTCCTATCCATTAAATGAAAAGTCTTTGCTATGTTTTATAAACTGAAAATGTTAGGATTGTGACTAGCAGACTTCTGGGTAAAAAGCAATATAGTCTTTTGATTTATGTCACCTCTTCACTCTGAAATATCTATGACATAAATAAACAAAATCAAGAGCCAATTCCAGATATCACCACTGATAAACCATTCCCAGTTCACTTTCCTCACAGTGACAGACAGCACTCATGCAACCGAGATATACTGGTACATGGCTGCTCTCTTTCCAGCATGTTTAAAATTCCAAGCACACTGGACAAGAGTACTGAGTGCTAACTAGTTCAACAGAGCCAAGGAATCTAGCTTCAGAAATCTAGATAGGCAAAAAGTGGGTAAACACTGCAACAGTGTTAAAATAGACTTACAACTATTTATTTTAATGACCAATTATTTGCCTCCTACTTGCTTCCTTCCCAAGATCCCAAAAGTGAAATTCACAGCTCTGGTAGGTAGTGATTACCAATCGGCTGTGAGCCACCAGGTCAGCAGTCTGCTCCCATTAAAGATTTACAGCCTCAGAAACCCTGTCACTATGAGTCTGAACCACTCCAAGGCACATCACCACCACCACCACCAGTGTGCTAACTAACAGAGTAATTCTTCACAATTGAATTAAAATGCTCAGTAAACGTTCTAAAAGGCAATACTATGTAGGTAGTCGGCCATCTCTTTTTATAAATCTAGTTGGATATCCACTTTAAAAAGAAAAATGTGCTTTCAGTGGATGGCTGCACAGTTGTTTTGTAAGTTCCCACTCAACAGTTCCCACATAAATTGTTCAATGACACTGGGGTTACATTCTTTACAGAGTATGAACCTTGTCCATATTGCATTGTTTTTATGAATCTAGTTTCCCTGTCCCCTTAGAGTTTCATCTTTGTTTCCAAGTAATGGTTGACCATTTGGTCTCATACACATTATTTTTAAAAGGAGCACAAGACTCATGGATGACAATCTTCATTTAGTGATCCATTCTGTTCTTTGGCTAAAAGATGACTTTGCGGGGCTAGATCGAGTTCAAGGTTATAAGAGTATTTCAAAGCAATAGAATAGGGGAGTTCTCTAGTCTCAACCAGTCCAGTTGTTGTTAAGTATTGTTGAGTTGGTTGTGACTTATGAGTCAAACCCTATACAGGGTTTCCAAGGAGCAAGTGGTTAGCAGTCCAGTGCTTATCCCTACATGCCCAATTCCTGTATCACCCTCCTATGATTTTCGCCCACGCGAGATGTTAGTTTCTTTCTAGATTTTTTAGAAAGAGAAGTTTTTTGGAAAATGTGTAAGTTTTGGTAAAGGACCGTTTCAGTGAATGAAATAAAAAGTCTGTCAGTAAATCTGAAGGATATAAAGAAGTAAAGAAGAAAGCAATATAACAGACTACATATTATTTTTAATCTTAAACCTTTCTTAGATCGTTATAGCCACTCCCTTCAAGCTTAGAACTAACAGAGGGGTTTGTTGTTGTTGTTCAGTGCTCTTGAGTCAATTCTGACTCATAGTGATCCTGTGAAGGGTCTCCAAGGAGCAGCTGGTGAATTTGAACCTCTGACCTTCCTGTCCAGTGCTTACTCTACAGCACCATACCAGGACTCCACTGAGGGGTTTAGTCTACTCTAATCTGTGCCCTACTGTCATACTGAGAATAAGCAGCACATTCAACAAAAAAATCACTACAGTGAGATTGAGGATCAAAGTTTTCTTCCAACTACATTTATGTAACACCTCACTTTATTGCACTTTGCAGATACTGTGTTTTTTTATAAATTGAATGTTTGCAGCAACCCTGAATTTAGCAAGTCTATCCATGCCATTTCTCCAATAGCATGTGCTCACTTTATGTCTCTGTATCACATTTTGGTAATTCTCACACTATTTCAACTTTTTCATCCTATTTGTTGTTGTTAGTGACACCAAGTCGGTTCTGACTCACAGTGGCCCAGTATAGGATTGCCAAGGAACGGCTGATGACTTAGAACCTCTGATCTTGTGGTTCAAACCGAGCTTTAACAGCTCTGCACTTATCCTATAGCAACATATCTAGATTCCTTTTCATAATACTACTGCACACTTACTAGATTTCAAAACCCAAAACCAAACCAAATGCCAGTGAGCTGATTCTGAATCCTAACAACTATATAGAGGAATTCCAAGAATGCAAATCTTTTTAAGTAACAGACAGCCTCATCTATCTCCTATGGAACTGTTTGTGGGTTTGAACTGTCAACCTTCCTTAGCAGTCCAACAGCTACCTCACAACAAATGGGCCTCCTTTAATAGACTACAGTACAATACAATATAAACATAACAGTAAGTTACGTGTCACTGAGTAGATTCCAACTCAGAGCAATCCTGTACAGGGTAGGGTTTCCAAAGAACGGTTGATGGGTTTGAACAGTCAACCCTGCAATTAGAAGTCCAGTGCTTATCCGAAAACCAAAACCTTAGTGTGACTCACATTACTGCAATATTTGCTTTCTTGTAATGATCTGGAAACCGACCTGTACAATCTCCGAGGTATACATGTTTTCTACTTGTTAAATAACAGCTTCTGGTATTGTGTGCTCTTAAAACGACCCCAAACTCTGACAAAGCATCAAACAGATTTTAAAGTAAGACCCAGGAACTGGGGGAGTTCTGAATGACATTCTTCTGGAAAAGGTCTAAGTTCATGTTTGCATATTCTCAAATCTGTTTTCTTTCATCTCCTCCACATTCCAAATGCAGGGACTGGAAAATCCAGAGTTCAAATGAGCGGCACTGGTAGTATTTTTTTAGATGCTGAGCTTACATTGCCTTTAAGAGCATACAGATACAGATTCTTGTATGCTTAGTGTGGAAGCAACATTTCTCTTCCCTCATTTATTTGAAAAAGGAAGCAAATTCCTTTCTAATTTCCCACTTTTTTTGAAGTTGATAATTTAGATAATGAAAATACAAGGGTGCTTCAAAATTCCATTATTTTTTAAATTAATTTTTCCATGAATTTTTTGAAGACTTCTTATATGTATAAACCTAGATTTTATTACAACCTAGTGGTTCAAGCTCACCCGCTGCTCCTCGGAAAACCTATAAGGGATCACTATGGGTCGGAACTGACTCGATGCACTTTAACAACAACAACAACAACGAATTGGGCAAAGACAAGCAAGTATGTATATGTGTGTCTTAAAGTAACACACAACAGATATAATTAAAACCAAAGAACCACTATGGGTGTTTGGTAACAACATAATAAATAATATACATCCTTGTCCCAGATTCTAAAACCAAATAGTCGGTAAACAGCTCTTCAAATGAGTGATTCTAGTTTTGTAACCACCTATCTGCTCTACTAGAGAAATGCACTGCTGCTTTTTCCCAGAGAGCAAAGAGTTTAGGGCATAGAAATATGAACCATCCATGAAAAGCATTTTGTGTGTGTGTGTGAGGAGTGGAGGCTGTTGCTCTAGATTAAAGGATCATTTTTAAACAAGTATTAAAAATCTATGCTACAGGGGCTGGGGGTGGAGGTCAAGGAAATTAGAGTACTGGACATGGTACAACCAGAGCACAAAGAATGAGAGCGATGACACACTGTGAAAAAAGTTACCAACATCACCGAGTAAGTATTTCATCTACACATTGTTAGAGAATGGAATGTGCTATGTAGACTTTCTCCTTAAACAAAATAAAGATTTTTTTTTGTTTTGCTTTTTAAAATTTCAGTTAAGACAATGGAAACAAACATATTGCTACAATCTAACTGAAGACACTTCAATTTGGTCTAGTTCACATTATGCATTCTTTCTCTTTCAGAGTTTAAAGTCTGGATACTATTACACATTTCAACTGAAAATTTAAATCACTCATTAAGATACATTTTCTACAGTGTCTCTCTGTGTGGAATTATTAAGCTAAAAGTATAAATGTGGGTAAAAACCAAACCCACTGCTGTCGAGTTCGTTCCAACTCATAACCCTAAGTAAACTAAATTCTCTCTCAGGAGACAGAGGACGTAATCTACTGAGACAAAACATAAAGGCTTTAAAACTTGTATAGTATCTTTATACCAGATTTGCAGAGTTATTTTTACATTTAATTCATATATTTTGTTACAGTTCAGACAAGATAAAATTATTACAACACTCTGTATAGTCTAATTTTTACAATCATTAAAGCATCATTTATCGAAAAAGAACTAAGCACATTTCTAAACCCCAGAATAAGTAGTCTTACATGATTCCAATTCATTTATGTTTCCAGATTCATCTGTTTGTTTTTAAAAACAAACAAACAAACAAACAAACAAACAAACAGAATCCTTGGTAACATTCAGTTAGCTAGTAGTTTTGTGGTGCCAGTTAAAAGCACTAT